ATACATATATGGGATATAATAATAATAATTTTTTTTTTTTTTGCGTAAAAGGAGACCTAACAGTCAAGAAAGCATAAAGTTACATAGGGGGCATTAAGAGGAGGAAAGAGACGAAGATCGAACAACTATCTGCCTCTCAAAGGTAGTGCTCATGACATCATCTCTAAGAAGAGGGGATTGAACCGCAGCGGATTAGCAATCTCATACATACCATAGGGATAGACGAGACTATGTTTCGAGAGCCAGTTATTGTCTCTATTCCCTTCGCAATATATGTGAGTGATGCTAACCAGTCAATCTTGGCCTAGCTTTCTGCGAATCACAGATAACAGAGTCGCATGCGGGTGAACTGGGTCTTGTCTATTATCAATAAGATGCACCGCCAACTGGCAGTCGGACTCAACTCTAATGGCCCAACATCCACTCTTCCAAGCCATCTCTACCCCATAAAAAACAGCCAAGAATTCATCTAGAGCAGCAATAGCTGAGCCTATGTTGGCTACAAATCCCACCTTCCAGCTTCCGGTACTATCTCGAAGAGAGCCTCTAGCTCCTGCCGGCCCGGGGTTACCATTTGAAGCGCCATCCACGTTAAGGGTCAGCCACCCTCCAGGATGAGGAGCCCATCCTATCTACGCATTCACTCGCGAAGGCGCCTGAAGATTCCCAAGTTGAAGATTGGAGGGCGATAGCCAAGCCTCGTGCCACAATTTACTTTTTGCACAAATCGAATGTGCAATGAATAATTAAAGGAAGGTTACATGGGATGGATGGACAAGAAGCTAGGGTTTTGGTACATGATTGGCCATACAAACGTATGGGAGTGAGGAGAAGAGGCGGCCACAATGGGACTTTTGGAATACCATCAACTCAGAGAGAGATGGATCGATGGAGGGAGATAGAGCCTTCGGGCCGCGATCTATGGACAGCTGCATGCCTGCATCTAACCCGTGGAATAAGAAGAGGAAGTTACCACCACAGGAAGTAGATGACAACTCAGGGCCCGATAAAATCTCGATGCAAAGTGTTCACGGTTGTTTTTACAGAGGGGGGCTAGCGTACGAGGAGCTTGCTTGAGAGCAAGCAATTTGGTCGTACACAGAGAGAAGACCTAACTCGGGAATTGGATTATGATCAGGAGCTCCGACCCTTAAAAGAGAGTATTGCCCGATTAAGGAAGGTATGATATCGAACCCCCACTAGATTGACGTTTATGGTGACCGGCGAGCGAACCCTCGCGGTTGGGCCACTACTGGACGCGGTAGATGGTCGGATCACTGCTTGACGGCGATACATAACGCAGCAGTTTATCGAGTATTTTTTGTCACTACTGGACAACGATACGTAACGTAGTAGTTGACCGGGCATGGACTTGACGGCGATACGTAACGCAGTACCATTGCCTTGAGGATAGGGACACCAGACGATGATACGTAATGCGGTGGTCCCTAGTAGCTAAATGTATGAGTTAAGGATAGAAGTAGAGAACTTCTATAAGATAAGGTTAGGAGTATAAAAGTTTCCATAAGTTATTAAGGAATAAAGTAATAAGGATAAAAGTAAATAACTTCTATGATATAAGTATAAGGGTAAAGATCTTCTATTAGTTGTGTTGAAATAAAGTTATTGAGGGATGAAAGCGAGAACGACTTTCGTTTAAAGAAGGAAACCCGTTAATAATGTGTTTAGTAAGGGTTTGCTTAGGCAAATACCTTAGGAAGTAACGACGAGACTGATCCCTTCTCACTCACCAGGTTGAGGAAGGGTTAGTAGAGGTGGATCCCGAGAAGAAGCGAGGCGAGGCGAGTAGCCCTACCAGCATTGATGAGGAGTCAAGGAGCTCATGAGAAGTCAGAGCTAGAATGGCTTAATTACTTTGTTGCATGGTTAGGAGTATAAATTGGAGATTTTGTGTTAAGTTGTTTTAACTGTTTGAGATTGAGATTTGGCCAAAGTGTTAGGGGTTTTCATTTAAACTCAAAAATTGTCTGTTTGTTTATTTTAAAAAGGTGGTTTGGGTTGCTCCGGAGTAACCGGTTTTGGTTTTGGTTTCAAAAGGATCGGGTTGTTTCATGGCTTGGCGGAAGGGAAGCATACAACAAGTTTCAAAAAGAATACCACGTGTTTCTAAAAACATATCACAAGTTTATCCAAGCATACCACAAGTGAGAAGGGGCGAAGGGGAAGTGAAACATACTACAAGTTCATTAAAGCATACCTAAAGTTTATCAAAAACATATCACAAGTTTCTTCCCTCTTTCTGAAGGATGGAAGGAAAATGGAAGGAAAGGAAATTGTGAGGGGAGGCAAAAAAATGAGGGAGGAAAAATATTATTTTATGGAGGAAAGTGAAAAGAAAAGTGGAAGAAAAAAAAATATTGAAATGTTAAATGTCGTCCTAAATTTACTAATCATCGTGCTAATTTTAATAAGTAATTATTATTTGTTCTATTTGAATTTAAATTTTAAATCCAAAATAACACATCTCTATTCTCTCTCATACCTCACCGTCAAACCCTCATTGCCGGTGCCGACCTCCCAGTGTCACTGACGACCCTCTACCTTGCATCATCGCCTTCCTTCGTCATCAGTGACTGCCTCCTCTCTGCCTAACCTTGTCGTCTCTCTTCGTGAATAATCTGCCCTGCCGGAGAAGAAGGAAAGAAGAAAATCCTTGCTGCCGCTCCAACCCGCACGTCCTCCTACTTCGCCTCCTTACTCAGATGGAAGGAGGAACGCCAACAACCGTCGCTCCTCTCTGCAGGTCCATTCTCCTCGCCTCCCTTCACTATCCTCGCTTGCAAAGAAGAAGCAACGCAAGCAATATTGTGTTTGTTCCTTATATCAAACTGAAAATTTTCTTTTGGGAATGGTGTGTTTGTTGTGTGCAAACTAGAGAAGAGAAGGAAAGAGTAACTTTAATACTTTAGTAATTTTAGGATGACATTTAACAACCCAAAAATATATGGGAGTGTGATAGATATGTTATTTCATTGGTTATGTAACAGTAAAATAATTTAGTTAGTTGTTGATATTATTTTCATTGCTTATCAATAGTGGATCAAATTTATTCTTTCTAAATGTGGTTCACTATTAAATAATTTCTTCGATTTAAAATCTCGTTCATTTTAACTCGATTTCAAGATTTTTCCATAAAATTTGGATTACCTCTGTTGTACAAGATAACATCAATTCTATACAAATTTCACACTCTCATGCCGTTTTTAAAGGAACGTAACACACATTTACATCTCACGCAACAGTTCTATGTATCGTGCAAAACGACGTTATACGTGGGTAAATCAACCATTTTGGTCCGGTTTGATCCGGCCTAAATGTCAAATCGGTTCATTTTTCTTTAGCAATTATAAAATTCATGTGATCAAGTACCCGACCGCATTATACTCTATTTGGTGTCATTCTATCTAAACATTGGTTTGAACCGCACGTACGGTACGATTTTACAAACACTGATTTTTAATAATCAAATAAGATGACATTCCATTATTATCTTTGCCTATAATTATTCATCATAATAGCTTTTCCTAAATCATGTTCAACAACAAAGAATGACCAACTTTAATAATATTATGCGAGCATAATACAAGTTGAACATATCGTATTAATTTGTTCAATTACCTTCTTCAGTAGTTAATTAAATAAACAACTTAATCCGTCTCTAATTACAATAAAATGATAACTCACACTCATTTAATCACATTAATAGAATAATAATGTAATAATATTTTTATTAGAAAGAGCCCACCAGCTCTCAACCCACTCTCTCCTCTCCTTTATTTTCTCTCCAAATTGGTAGACTCTCATATATTATTAAACCGACATGAATGAACACAAATCGATTGTACCATCACTCTAACCGTACCATTTGCTAAATCGATACTATGATATAAATCGGTTTGAAAATCTTGGTAATGAGAGTCTACTATTATAAAAGAAAATAACGGTAGATCGCTTGTTTTCATAGGTCTATCGAACTCAAGAGAAAATACATATCTTTAATAGGTTCGTTTGGTTTTGTATTATATGACATATTAAGGTTGACAAGACAACTAGACGGTTGACCACTTTATTGAAGATGTTGACTCTTGGTTTGCAGGTTGGCCAAATTGAATACAACATACACACCAACAAAGTTTTGCTATAGCGATCAACCGCCTTCACATACAAGTTGATTGCTTTCAAGTGAAGATGCTAACCAACAGAAATGGGGCTTGTTCCAGTCGACCACCATGTTGTGCAAGTCAAATGATTTTGGCACGCACAATGTCCAGCAATTGAAATCTCACAAACCACATTACAAATTTCCTAATTCAATCCACAACCATAGTTAAACAAAAATAAATATTCTACAAATCTTAACCAAAGATTCATAACAGATAAGACCCAATCCGCAAATACAAATAGTGCACAAACAACTCAAATCCAAAAGCATAACAAATAAAATTCAATCCAAAAATACAAAATAAAATCCATAATGTCATTCATGGAGTCCTTTGATCTCTCTCCTATCACTCATCTTGTTTTTTCGGATTATTGGTACTAAAATTATGGTGCTCGGATGTAGTGGGATACACAAATCTTCCACTAAAAGATCAAATTCATCTCGCATCTCATTTATAGTCACCTGAAGTGTGCTCATCTGGTTGAATATCTACCTCAAATAATTAGTCATATCATTCATGTGATTTCATATATCGTTGAGGATAATTGGTTGAGTTGGATTCTACAGTTGCACCATTGGCTTTTTTCTACCTCCTCTTCATTAGACTCTTCCTCATCGTCATTTACATAGTTAGGTAGGATATACACACCATTAGGATGCTCGAATGTCATCTTCTTCATTGATTGTCAAATAAGAGAAAGATAAAAACAATGGAGTTGAATAGAGAGTGACAGGTGGTGAAACAAAAATGCGAAATTAGTGACCACTAATGCAATTACATTTTCTATACAAACATGAAACAAAATGATAATCCAGTAACCAACGTCCTATTTAATCAGTACCAAAATAACTCAGTGGGTCTAGATGTGGCAAATGGATTGAGTTGATGGATTTCATGGATCCAAGTGACATCTAAACTTTGGAATATTATACATTTTTGGACTAATACCACTAGGAAACACGAACTATCAGGAAAGTGTCATTTGTATCTCGAACTATTCAATATGACATTTATGTCCTGAACTATTATTCTGTTAGTGGCGTTGACTATTAGTATTTAACAGAAAATCCAATCAGCGTTGACATGACATCTTACGTTGAATTTTAAATTCAATATGTATTTAATAAAATAATTAAAATGAAAAATTGTCGACCTCTTTCCCCTTCCATCTCCCATATCGTCCAAAGCCTTCTTCTCGTCCTCCCTCTTCCACCAACACACGTGGAAGTCTACGAGTCCAGGGAGACGGTCAAATCCACAATTTCTAGTGTTTGTCGCCGTCGAAGAGAGGGGTGAGGGACATAGCCCTCGTGGTTCTGCCGGAGTCAGTTTTATCATCATCGGCGGATCTAGTGTTGTTGCCGACAGTGGCGGATCTGTTTTCATTGGCTCAGCGGATGCACTCCGCCCTCCCCATCTCTAGTCACGGTAGGTCCGACCAATTAATGGTCGACGGATTTGCTTGCAATTGGGTGGAAGAGATATGGTCGGCGCTGGCGGAATACCTTTCCAGTTCTTCAATTTCAATCGCCGATCCGCACAAGAGAGAGATTGAAGACTACGAAGAGTTTTCCAGGGAGAAGATCAAGGTTATTCGATATTGCGAGACTCGAAGGTGGATTGGAAGTGAACTGGAACATGTGGTGGTGGGGATGCTCAACAAACTCACTAGCTGATTCTGGCTTTCTGATGGTTGGTGATTTTTTATTTGGACATGTAATCGGGGGAAGCTAGATCCGCAGGGGGAGAAGCCGAAGAGCAGAGGGAGTAGGAGGCGACAGTGGTGGGAGTTGAGATTTTCTTGTTTTATATTTTAAGTTAATTTTGAGAAAAAATATTAACTAATTGAAAGAAAAAATAATGATTGAGTTCACATATATTTTTAATTTGAAATATGAGGTGTCAATGATGTGGCATCTACGTGGCTGTCACATTTTTGCCACGTCAGCAAAAGTCAACATCAAGTTGATTAACGTCTGGTCAACTGTTATCTATAACGGTCAACAAAATCATCATAACATAAATGACACACAACTATCATACGTTGGGACAAAAATGACATCTTGAATAGTTCGGGACACAATTGACACTTTATTGATAGTTCGGGTTTCCTGGTGGTATTAGACCTACATTTTTTGAAAAGTTTAGATACTAAAATATAATTTTAATAGTTTTGGGTATCAAATATAAATCTTCAATGATATTTTTCATCAAAGAATTAAATTGTAGGTAGGGCTGGGAAATGGTGCGGTCTTGTCGATACAGTCTATGGTCCAGCTTGAGAGGCTGGAGTATAGACCAGGGACTAGGCCAAGTACCATAAGGCCCAGACGAGACCGCACCTGCGCGGTCTGGTCAAGTTAGACCACAATGAAAGAAAAATGAACAATTTGTTTAGTCAATCACACAAAAATTGAATCTATAACAGAGAAAAAATGTTTTTTGCTTTAAAACATAAACTCCAATATGCATGACGAATTTTGACACCCAAAATATTAGCAAACAATAAAAATACAAAGTCAAATCGTCCTAAATTGCACCCTAACGTAACATAATGTCATATGGAGACACGATCTTCTCTACTCTCTAGTGCATGTGGTTGTGAATGAAAGAAGGGACGAGTTTCTCAAAATTAGGGTTGAGATTTGGGTCTCGCTGGGGGAATCGGGAGAGTGGTTAAGCAGGCTGCTAACAAGTATTGCTTTCTCGACTGGGTCCACGGTTTGGTCCGGTAAACCGTGGTCTAGATTAGACCAAGAGATCAAAACATCATATAATATAGACCATGGACCAGACTAGATCATTCTTAGCGGTCTATGGTCTAGACCAAATTTTGCCGTCCGGTTTGGTCCATGTTTTTTCAAACAATCTGGTCTATTTTCCTAGCCCTATTGTAGGTATAAATTTGTATGAAAAATTAAAAATATAGATACTAAACTCTAATTTTCCAACAATCCATGAATCCAACCAGGAATCCAGCAATCCAATTAAATTTGACTTAAATGGATTAACTTTGTAGAATACTTTAGTGTATGAATTAGATGATAGAATTGAAACTACCACCTCTCAAGGGTTTTTAGGCCTAGATCTCGCAAATAAAACCCTACGATTTTTACTTATAGTACGTATGTCATATTACTCATTTGTTTATGGATGCAGGTTTATAATCTAAACCCCACGTTAAAGCCAAATTTCTGAATTTCCCTTCATCTTCAACCGAGAATCGCATCTGGCGCTGCAATCGTCGGTCAATTCCTTTTCGTCCTTCACCCACCGACTCCTACATCTGCTTCGCCGATCTTGTCCATGTTCAGGGACCAATCGCTTCTTCCATATGAAATCAGAAGGCTTACATCGCATCTTCTTTCATATGCAATCGCCACCATCTCAGACCAGAATCAACGCTCTCTTCTGATGGCCAGAACCTGAGTAAGAATCGACAGAGGAGGAATCAACACAGCAAATCCTAAACCTCCGCTATTGATTGCCAAAACCCTAACCCAGAACCTCCCATTGGTGATTTCCTGCTCTTTCCTCTGTACGACTTCCATCATCGATTACCCTAACAAAGAACCCATAATAGATGAAAAAGGGAGCGATAGATGGAGAGCATAAGGTGGTGGAGACAATATAAGGTTTGATGGGGTCTTCGGGGAGAGACCACGACGGAGGGAATGGCAATCGAAAGAGAAAAGAGAGATAAGAAGACTACAATTCATCGTCTTCCTCCATCGCCTCCCCCAATCGTCCTCTCTCTCTCTCTCTCTCTCTCTCTCTCTCTCTCTCTCTCTCTATCTCTTTCTCCCTCTCTCTGGCAAGAGCAGAGAATGAGATTGACAGATCTCGATCCGTGCAACAGAGGGAATGACGATGGCGAGTGGCGATGGCGGTTCCTTCACCTTGGAAGGTCAACGGGAAGTCAGCTGGTTTGGAAGTGATGGAGTCACGGGAAGGTTGACTGGTTTGGAGGGATTGGAAGGGTATTTGTTAAAAATTCCTATTCTTATCTTAATTTCTATTTTTTAATTCTGATTTTTTTCAAGGTTTATCATTACTTTATCTTTCGATTTTATACGTATGAAAGGGGAGTGGACAAACTAAAAAAATGAAAAGGAAATCTTTGTCGGAAGTTTGACGAGTTTGGTAGGGATTGCAGAACGGGGTGAAATAGCGTCACTTCCCCAAAGAGGATTGTAAGTTTCACAACCAAGGGCAATTTGGGTAGCCCAAAAAAGAATCTTATTAATTACTTTCTTTTTTGTATTAATTACATTTTGGGAATTTAAAATCCATATTAAATACATTGCTTTATTTTTAAATTTAAATTCTACCAAAAATACATTTCTCATTCTTCCTATATCTCTCTTCCTTTTCCAGTAGCCACTCCACTCTGACCGGCTAGCTTTCCGACCGACATACTTTCTCTGGCAAAATCCTTCAATCAGACTCGCTCCGGCCACCTGCGAAAAATTACCACTCAATCAGTGCGCTAGTGGTATGATTTTCGTCTAGTACTACGCTACCACTACCACTAGTTGCGATACTAGTGAGTAGTGGTAGCGCTACCAGTGATGGTGGTAGTGGTACCACTACCACTAGCACGGTACCATATGAAAATCACTACCACTAGGGACTAACAAAAAAAAAACATATCTGAAAAAAAGATGAGGAAAAGGGGAGGTTGTGACCTTGCGACGATGACCTCGTGGTGATGGTGGTGGGAGGCGGATGAAGGAGGGACGGAGGGCGTGACAGGGGGCGCGGGAGGGAGGTCGAGGGGGCGGCGGCGGCTGGGTGTAGGGGATGAGGAGAGGGAAGGGGCCAGCGACGCCGTGAAGACAGCGGCGACGACGGGAGGACCTCGCCGATAGGAGGAGGGGATGATGGCGGCGGCAGAACGATAAGAGGAGGATGACTGTTGTGTTCAAGTTAAAGGGAGAGAGAAAGATGATGAATCTGTTATGGTTAGAGGAAGAGAGAGTAGAGGAATATGTAGAGTCATTAGTGGAGAGAGATCTGATGTGCCTATTTTTTTGTCCAAAAATACCCCTTGATTAATCTCTTCCATCAATTAAAAAAAAGATAATGAATCTAATGGGTGAGAGGTGGGTAGTCTCACAACCCTTAAAATGGAAGTGATGGTATCCCACCCCATTGCATAACAGAGATGGAAGAAGGACAAGTTTGAAACAAAGAAAAAAAAAATGATGAATTTCAAAATAACTGATCTCCATCAATTGTTTTGAAAACTACGTTTTGAGGAATTTCGAAATCCCTTATATACAAAATCTCTCATATTTCGAAACTCATAATTGTTTTAAGATCATTCATATTGAAATATTATTTTAAAATCTCTCATAAATCCCTCACGACAAATCTGCATCTAAATTACCCTAAGATCTATAGCAGAGCAGAGAGTGTTGTTTGTAGAGAGTACATAATTGAGGGAGCAAAAAGTGAAAATTTTCCTATTCTAATTCCGTTGCCCTAATTCCACTCGGAGAGATCGAAGGGTCATATAAAAACTCCTCCCCGGTGAAAATTATTACTGAGCATTCTCTCATAAACAAACAAATTATTACTGAGCGAGAGCGAGCGACCCACGATTTCGCTTTTTTCTTTCTCCTTCGTTTTTCTTCTCTTTTCTCCTCTCCCCAGAAATACAGAAACAAACGCAGTAGAAATGTTTTCCCGATTTCATCTCTCCAATTTCTTCGAGTGAGGGAGCCACCACCACCACTCGCCACCAAATTCCCCAATTTCAAGCAGTTGTCTCCCCTCTCGCACGCCTAAAATGATCCCTTTGTAAATTCCTTCTTCTTTTATACATTTCCCCTGCCGCTCCGCTGCTTCGCCTGTTTGTGAGGTACACACTCTTCATGCCCAACCCACCATAAGAAATCAACTGTAATATTGAGGCGTTCTTTGGAAAACCCCCTTTTCCCTTATGCGTGTTCTACATCACTTGCTACTCGTTACACTGTTTTAGATTGTCTCAATTGTTTGATTTCGTTCAATCCAATTTTCTTGGTCGGAATCCCTCGTCTTTGCAAATTTGGTCTGCGATCTGTGCCTTCCTTCTGGAAATTGTTTTGTCGAATTTATCGTGATTGTGATATGAGAATTCGGTTTCTGATTGCGCAAATTTGGTTTGCGGACAATTTGCAAGCAATTCGTTACTGGGTTGGGTGAATCTGCATGGGTTTGCTGAATTGAGGGTTGAGTTGCTGGTTTTGGATCATGGCATTGCCCCGTTTCTTTTCTTTCTCTCTCTCTCAGTTTGCGAAATGATTCTTTAGTTGATGATCTAGATGCAGTTCCCATCTTCGTCTCTGAATGCCTCTTCTTCGTTTGATTGTTTGTTTGTTTATGATGTAAGTAGATTAAAGTTTTCGACTTTGCAGATAGATTCTTCCAAGAGGAGGAAAAGGGGCATTTGGGTTTGATGGGCGCTCCTAAGCAGAAGTGGACGGCTGAAGAAGAGGCCGCCCTTAAAGCCGGAGTGGTTAAGCATGGGACTGGTAAATGGCGCACTATCCTTATGGACCCGGAGTTCAGTGCAGTCTTGCAGCTGCGTTCTAATGTTGATCTCAAAGTATGTACGACGCATGCCCTTAATAAGCAGCTCTTTTGTCTGCTTTTCTTTATTTCTGATTCTTTTGTGTGTTTTCCTTGGTTGTGTTTGAATGCCGGATTGAAAGTGTAAAGCTTTAATAATGGTTGACAGGATAAATGGAGAAACATAAATGTGACAGCAATTTGGGGTTCTAGGCAAAAGGCAAAGCTTGCACTTAAGAGCAGTCCACAAACACCTAACAATGATCAGAGCTCTAGCCCTCCCACCACTGTAGTACGCTCCAATGAAGAAGTTGTCAACGCCAAGCCTCTTGCTGTAGTTTCTGCTGCAACATCACGACGTAGTGGGAGTCCAAGGGAACTACTTCCAAAGTACGAAATCTGACTGAACATTTGAATATTTGCTTCATCGTTTTCTGGAGACTAATGATATATTGGCAGCTCCTTGCACTTGAGGTTGAAATTTGGTAAACTATGAATGACAATGTACAAGCAGATCACAGTGAAAAGACACTACAGGTTCTCTTTAATACGGGCTTGAATTCTTATTTAGTTAAAGCCTCATTTGAGGTTTTGAATCATATCCACGTCACTTTCCTTTGGATGATGTGGATGATTGGTGAATATATTCTAGAATCAGAAAATTGAATTTATAACAGATCCCGTCCGAGAATTTTGTGATAGCTTGCTATAAAAAACAAACATAATATCTGGAAATAAAGCCTATGTTGCTTACATCTCCATTACTGCAAGGTTATGGATTTTCATATTAAGAGTTTATTTATGTAGTGATTAAACACTTGATTTACTCAATCACTGAACCTGTTCCCTGCATAATGTTAGGTTGGATAGTTTGATTTTAGAGGCTATCAGTACTTTGAAGGAGCCAGGTGGTTCTGATGGGGCTTCAATTGCTATGTACATAGAGGTAACCTCATTCCTTTCTCACTAGTCTGAGTGCTTATCATATTTTTATAAATTGAGGATTTTCCCTTCTCTTGCCTTGCATATTTCTTCTCCAATTATGTATTGAGAGTCTTACAATATATAGGATAAACACTGGGCACTTCCAAAACTCAGAAAGCTATTGGCAGGAAACCTAAAGCGTTTAACAGCTGCTGGAAACTTGATCAAGGTAATTGTTATGTTCTTTCTTTACTCTTTCGTTTGTTGCTAATGTTGTAGTGATTATTTTGGGAGTGACGTGACATGAACATTTAAGCTGTTCTGGAATAATATATTTGCCATATGGTTCTTGAGTATTTGATATACTATTCAACACAGGTAAAGCACAGGTACAGAATTGTACCAAGTTCTCCTATATCAAGGGGAAAGAAAAGAACTCCCCTTTCACGTATAGATGGAGATCAGAAGAACACTTCAAACTTGGAGAAGAATGGCACTTCCAAAATGGTGACCGAGTCCCAAGTTGAAGAAGGCCTATTGAGAATACAAGGTATGACTGCCCAAGAGGCTGCTGATGCTGCAGCAAAGGCAGTTACAGAAGCCGAGGCTGCTATTGCTGAGGCCGAAGAGGCTTCTAGGGAGGCTGATAGAGCAGAAGCTGAAGCAGAAGCCCGACAAGTTTTTGCAAAAGCAGCTTTGAAAGCGTTCAAACTCTGCGCACCTCACTCCTGGTAATTTATTAATTCCCCCTCTTCCCCCATCTTCATGAAAGATCGTCATGTATAATGCGCTGATAATCATGGGAGGCTGTCATGTTTCCATCTCTGATCTATATATTGTCGACTCATTCGCCATGCAGATGACAGGGAGTATGCCTTTGGATGGGTGCTTCAGCTGTTTTAGCACAGATGGTAAATCTAGTAATTGTTGCAGCAAAATCTCGACTGCCAGGCATGTTGTCTTGTACTGTAAATGTTGTATATGTCAAAGGTGCAACAACATCAAATCTGCTACGATATACACCATTTGGAAAATGGGAATCTGGATCTCAGGGATTCTGAAGAATATAGATTTTTTTTACACTAAGTTTGTAGTGATTTGGAAGGGCATGAGACAGACCTCAAAGAATCAGGAAATAGAAGCTAAAGTTGCCCATTTCTTTCATCCATCTTAGTAATACAAACATCAGGAAGAAATCATCATTTCTGGTCACAAGTAGGTCTGAAACCATGAGGATGCCAATCTGCGTGTGTTTTTCACGATCTAGAATATATGTTTGTACCCTAAAGGCCTAAACTAGGTTTGATATCCACAGAGAGCTCATGGAAGATGGCAATTACTAATTGCAGCTAAAAGCTCGTGTAAACTGTCCACGATGATCTTACGTCCATAAGACTTTAATATATCTTTCAATGGGTTTCACTGATCTGAAGTGCTGCATACACTGAAGTGTTGGCAGTTGTAACGGCATTGCCATAGTTCTGCTCTCCTGCAGCTTCGCATGCCAGTTCAATGAAGTACAGTGGAGAAGGGATTTCTCCTGCATCCAAAATCGCACCAAATGCATACTCCAAAAGATGCCCCTGCCATGATAGAATCTCAGTTCAGTCATACATCCAGGAAAAAAGGGAAAAAATCATAGTTAAATCAGATGGTTTAGACTCTAGAGTAGGAGAAAACATTCACGGGTCGTTTGGATGTGGAAATTTAGTGTGGAAATTGTGCTCAATTCCCACATTATGTTGAAATTTGGGGCTAAAATTAGGTGATTAAGAGCCCTTAGTCACATGGCTAAGTGAATCTCAGCCCTTCTATCTCATTAAAATTTAATAACTCCAATTAATTCAATTTAATAAAGGGCACTAAAATAAATTTATTATTATTTAAATTTTATTTATCTATTAAAATCAATGCTGTCAAAGCCGAGCCAGAGTATGATCCGGTAACGTGAACGGCTTGGTCATTAGTGGGTCAGCCGACATTAGACCGTTTAAAAACCGTTTGAGAACCGGTACCTAATAAACTGTTTAAAAACTACCCTAAATCAACACCGACCCAACTCAAGATATCGATTGGAAAAGCAGTCACCTGCGGGAGTTTTTCTCTTGCCGAAGATGAAACTCATGGCGACGCTGTGAAGAGGAACCCGGGGGCGGCAGCAACGGCTATGAATGGAGTCGACGTGTGAAGAGCTAGCGATCAATGGGGATTGGAATTTATGCGTGCGGAGGAGAGATCGGTATCGGATTGGAGATGAGATGAGAGATTTGATGTTTGAATGAAGGAATTGGGGGAACGAACTACTAGTTGTTAAAAGAAAGCAGTCGTGGAATCCGCCAGCCAGCCAAACTCGCTTCAACGCGGTGGAGGGAAATGTTGAGGAATCGCTGGCCGATGCGGAAGCTGGGAGAGAACGGTCGTCGAACCAACGGCAGGCCTGGGGGAGGCTGGGCCCGTCGCTACACTATGAGCAGAAGCAACGATGGCGACTGGCGATGGCGCTGCTTGCGGCGATTGCGAGCTGCTTGCGCCGGGAGCGGGGAGCAGAAGCGATGATGGCGACTGGCGATGGCGCGCTGCTTGCGGCGACGGGACGGAAGCGCTGTGGGCTTGGGGCGATGGTTGACGGCGGCAGGGTGGCGCCGCTCTCCCTCTGTCGTCTGTTCTACTTCTAGGTCGAAGATGGAGAAATAAAAGGAAAGTTAGGGTTTTGTTTGGCTGCCCAATTCCACGATTCCTTTTCTATTTTTTTTTGGTAAACCAAACGGCCGAACCGCGCGACCAGCTTGAGCGGCTCGAGCGGTTAACCGCTTCGGCCGCTCGCCGGCCGCTGTATAAAACCGTGGCGGTTAAATAGCGGATCCGAGCCGGTTTTATGGCCGGGTGACGGCTTTGGCGGTCCGGCCGGCCGGCTCGGTTCGGCTTTAACAGCACTGATTAAAATAAATAACCTAATTACTACGGCAGTAGCTGCCAGCCTGCAACCCGATCCGTCGAAGGTCCTTTTCTCCGGCGTGTCCTTTTCTCGGGGGAGGCTTTGGTTTTTCCTAGGGAATTCCTCCCCCCCAGAGCTTTTTCGGCGCCGACAAGAATTTTCGGCCTCGACGAGATGTAATGTTTACCGACAATTCTGTTTGTATTTTTTTGTCATTTATGTCTATTATATTTATAATATTTATATGACTATTTTTTACAGTTAGTATGCTTTGTACTATTTGTCCGTTTATTTTGTAATGTTTGTAAGCTTTGTTATTTTGTAATGTTTGTCGGTTTTTTTGTAATGTTTGTAAGCTTTGTTATTTTTGTCCACCATGTTTGTAATGTTTTTTATGTCTAAAAAACAACCTGGTTGACTTTTGGATGAAACTCTTCAATATAGAGATCGAGCCTCCAAAGTGAACCTGGACGTTTTTTCATTTTGTATGGTTTGTCGGTCTAGTTTGTCATTTTTTCCCACCATGTTTGTATGTAAAAAAAACAACCGGGTTGACTTTGAGACGAAACCCTCTATATAGAGATGGAGCCTCCAAAGTCAACCCGGTTGTTTTTTCCCCATTTTGTATGGTTTGTATTGTTTGTCGGTCTAATTTGTATTGTTTGTATAGTTCGTATGTTTCGTATTGTTTGTAAATCTGTTTGTATGTTTTGTCGCTCTAGTTTGTATTGTTCGTATGTTTGGTTTGTACTGTTTGTAAGTCAAGCTTGTATACTTCGTAATTTTCCATAACACCCAAACTACCACTGTCATTAATTAAAAAGTCATTCCCACTTTTTATCCATCAGATTGGTGTGTCCATATCTAAAGACTGGGAGTGGTTTAGTCAAGTAACTAAACACTTAGTTTAGTCACCAGATCCTCTCTCAAAATTGGTTCCAATTTTCATGTTTGTTTGTTAAAAAATAATGTGGGAATTGGGCCAATTACCACATATGTGGAATTCAGAAATACGGCCCCCCACCCCCATAATTCCAATTCTCACGTTTAAAGCAATTTTCTTTCCAGTTATGCCCTTACCTTTTTATCATAAACCCAAGAATAACCCTATCTTCTTTTTAGGATTATGCTACTCCGTTCATGCTTCATCTTCCTTTCGTTTTCCCCTGCTATTGATACCTTCCCCTTACAAAAATCAATAAATCACGCCCACACAACTTTACTTCTTTCTCCTTTGTCTAAACCAACTTGCAATTTCAGAATTAGGGTTTCTCCCAACCTCCTTTAGGAACACCAAATCAGATGTTTTCGAAAAGTTGCAGATATGTTCTTGTTTACACCTAAAATATTTTTGGCCTAAATTCAATGCCGTAATAATGAGTCTCGACATTTAATTCGATATCGCATGGCCAAAGCGATGTCGTTTGGTGTCGAGCAATGCCGCGGAGAATTTAAGCGAGACCGCGAAGAGGCTCGGCGGTACCGCGGTACTTGAAACGACATTGGTTGCAGACCATGTGTGAGTCATGCGCAGGACATGTGTTGCTGTTGGACAAGGAATGTTTTTTATTTTATTTTTCATTGTCGGAGGAGGAGAGTAACAGCACCGTTTGGAGTCAAGCAATGCTGCGAAGAGATAAAACGGTGCCGCGGGCCTCAAAGCTCAATGGCATCGCGAGACTGGGAAACGATGTCGTTTGGCTAAAAACGGCACCGAGACAAGCGGCATCGCGGATGAGTTAAAACGGTACCGCAAGGAAGCTCAGCGGTACAGCGGCACTGGAAACGACAACGTTTATTGAAAATAAAAGGGGCCGCGCGTTTTAGTGTAGGTGTCGGGGAAGGAGTTTTTTCTGTTTATAATTAATTATTATTTTTATTCCTTGTTCGAAGGGGAAAATCGGTACCGCGGATTTAAAAACGATGCCGCGAGAGCCTGGTAAGCGGTACTGATTAATTAAACCAAAATTCGCCTAGTCCAATGCGAGCGCCGATTGGCGGCGGTTCCATGGAATATTTTTGGCTATATCAGCGGTGTCGTTTAAATTAAAAATGGTACCGCGAGTAAGCCCAACGGTACCACTGAATTAGCAAACGACAATGTGTAAATATTTAAACAATGTCGCGGAAAGAAAAACAAACGGAGCTGTTTGGAGAGGAAACGACACCGCGGAGCTTGAAAACGATATCGCGCGAGGAATCAGCAATACCGCGGTGGTGGATAAAGCCGCGAGCTAAACAACATTGCGGTGGAGAGAGATGGTCGCGGTCGCGAATCTAGCGGCGTTGCTAGTGCGGCAATGCCGCGAAGTTCAATGATACCGCAGCAACATCGTGGAGTTCAACGAAGGCCATCAACTTTGTGTGGTCAACGACGCCGAGAGATCAACAATCTAGCGGCGAGTACGCGGTGACGAGGGTGAAACAACAATGTTGTTTTAATCGATGGCGGTATCGGGATTCGAACCATGGTACAAAGTTGATGTGTGTGCACGTGACTTTTACGCAAAGCAGAAAGAGGAGATCAAGGCAGTTGAGACACGTGGGATTTCAGGACGGAGCAGTTGAGGAAGCAGTTCTACAGAGCGTGAAGACTACGAAGTTGGTTTTAGATAAAATCAACCCTGCGAGGAGAGAGACGGGGACAACGAAATCAACACAGAAACACATCTGTCAAACTTTACCTTTTTTCTCTGTAACTCCTTCGCGGAGCTCTCCTTCCAGAAAGGATCTCCATAGTTGTAGTCTTAGTCGTAGTCGCGGAGCTCTCCAAAGGAATCTCCATAGGAGTAGCGGTAGCGTAGATTCCTCAAAACTCAAACACCCTCGTTCGAACGTAGTTTGGAGAGGTGCGAACCGTAGTAACGGTCGTTCTTGGTTAGAAGTCAGAGGTGCATCGATCAAATCAACACCGCCCGGCGGTGGATATTTGACGGTCACGTTGATTTCACCATTTAGAGGTGCATCGATCAAATCAACGGCGCCGACATTCGGCGGCGGATATTTGACGGTCGTCTCGATTTCAGCAATCAGCGGTGCACTCGATCAAACGACACCGCAAGGTTTCCACCGCGAAAACATCAAATCAACATCGCCAAAAACTAATTCGGCACCGGCGGTGGCATTTGGTTTTCCCGAGGAAAGGACCAATACTGAAGTTGGTCAGGCGGACGAGGCAGATAGACATATCGGTCGGATCAAGGAGTGGCCTCAATCCATGTCGAGCACTGACGGGCATGTTGCACTCTTGTCTCTTCGTCGAGCCGTGGAGGAGTATTACCAGCAGGTAAATCTCTATTTTATCTCTTTTAATAAGCCGTGTGATTCTCTTGGAAGACATATGGATAAATTTTTTGAGATAATAGATGAACATGTTTCCGTTATTGCCAATAAGGATTCACTTAAACTTGTGGCTAAAACAGTGGCGTTAGGGGCCAACAAATTTCATGTTGGTTCTCCTGTGAACACTATTGTTTTGAAGGACAGGAAAGTTAGAGCGGTCTTGCGAAAGACACAACTAAGAACAAAATTTAAACGTGTTCATAATAAGTTTAAGAAAATTAAGAAAAACAAGTGTGATGTCTTGGAAGATGACAAATTTTACCACATTCTTCAATCTGAGCCGCTAGGGGGGGCATGCCATCCCAGCTCGTGGTAGATTGAAGGAGAAACAACATCGTGGGTGGCAAAGAAGTTTGCCACACCCACCCTGCTCGAGGAAAAATCTAACAATGGTTTCCTCAAATACTCTTCGATGTGGGGATGTTAACCACGTAGAAAAATCTAATGCCAACAAAGTTGGCATGACTCAACAGGATCGTTCACGTAAATCATCCCCGAAGTTTTTATTGAGTGGACAGGGAGGCAAGTTCCGTCAAGCACGACAGGGAGTTGCAACACCAGTGCTTATGAGGAACAAGTCTGCTACGAGTGGTGGCCAGGGGGGCAAGGCCAATGCCAAACAAATTCCAAACTCACGTGGAATTTTAAAAGGGGCAACGTTGTTGTGTGATAGGTGCAAAAGTCATGTATGTGCTAAGCAAAGTACCAACGTACCTGTTGATGAAAAGTCTCGGCGCTCATACTACCAACCACATGGTGAGAGAGCGAAGCTGACAAAATCAGACCGGTCTAGGCAAGCAATGCTGCATGGTCGACTTGACAAGACAAAAATGTCAAAAAAGGTGAATGTCTTGCCGAAAGCAAAGACCACTGGTGATTTCTCATGTTCTTGAACAAAACTGATGGTTGAGATGAAGCCAAATCGAGCTCGTGGAATTTCAAACAAAGGTGTTCGAGCTCGACAAACTGGGGAGTTGCAAACCAACATTGATTCCAAAATATCAAAACCAACATGTGTGAAACCAACGAGTCAGGAAATTTATGGATGGCTTGTTTGGTTTGATATGTGGAGTTGGCAGTGGGTTTGGACTTTTGGCAGGATGGTTTATGTCAATGCCAATCCTGTTTTGTTTAACTACTATTAAAATAAATGTGTGGCTAATTTAGGCCACGTAATATATTTAAAAAAAAAGAGGAAAAGAAAAAAATTATTATTATAAAAATATAATCAAGCGACATTGTTAAGAAGAAGTTGGTGTTGTTGATGGTTCAAGATGACAAACGGTGATAGAGGGATAAATAATGCCGTTGAAAAAAATAAAAAATGCCAGCACCACCGAGCCTAAGCGATAAGCAGTGATGCGGTCCATCGTTGTTGGCTGATTGGTGGCATCGAATAATAATAATGGAACATTGTCGTTTTGTTCCTTTGAGCAACGTTGAAAAAAAAAAATGATGGAAACGTTGTCGTTTGGACTTTGGAACAAAGCGGCCAACGACGTTGATGATATTTGGGACTCACTTTGGGCCAAGTTAAAAATAAATAAAGAAAAAATCCAAACAAAATTACAAGAGCAATCTTGCACGTTGTTGGCCATACAACAAATAATTAAATATATTTTTTGTTGAGGTTTTGCGACGTTGTTGGCGCTAGTTGTTGGTTTGCGGCAAAGAAGATAAAAGGCCAGCGGTGATGAGGGTTAACAACCACATTGGTGGCGATGTAATTTTAGTCGCCGTAGCGATGAGCAAAACAAATCTAAAGCGGCAGTAAAAAATAAAAAAGGTTTACTTAAACGCAGCCGTTTCAGCCAAAATAGCATTGCGGCTAGTAGTTCAATATTGTTGCGGGAAAACAACATTGCGGAGCTGCCAGCATAGGTGACACTAAAAACACACGGCTGTTTGATATTTTTGTTTAAATAAAAGAAAAATTCAAAACACTGCCGTTTGGCCTAGGCAATGTTGTGGGAGTCTACAAAAGCAAGTCTGTTTTGGGCTAAGGCAGCACTGCGGCCGCTGCAGGGTTGTATAGGAGATCTAGAGTTGTTGGGTGGGAGACTATACTATTGCCGTGAAACAACCTTGTTTTACTCCGAGTGTCTCTCCCAAAGTAGCAGTGTGAGGCGTGAGCAAGGTTATGGGTGCAAGTACACCAGTCAGATTTTTCTTGTGGCCAAAACGTGGTTAAAATTTTGTTGGCGTGACTGTTAGTTGGCCAAATATGAATTAATAAGAAAACCCCGACACAATTGTTTTGGCTAAAGCGGTGCCGCGAAAGGGTTGCAGTCTTGTGGAGCTATTGCAACTTTCAACGAGGCTGTTTCTTTGGCCTAAATAGCGTTGCCGAGCTAGCATTGCAGATGGAACTTGGCCAAAAAAAAAAAAATCGTATGCATTAATTTAATTTGGCCAACAGGCCAAGGCAACATCGGGTAAGAAAAAAAAATTCGCAGCATTGTAGTGGGTCTTGGCAGCAGTGTTGCCCGAAGGCGTGTATTGGATTTGACTACAACAAGGCGGGAAGGAAAATAGGGTCTCAGGATAACGAGCTCCATACGACGCTGCCGCTGCCACAGGGAAAAAGCATGCAGGGGTGTTTTGCTCTTCGCAGCTCTGCGGTGCGGGGACAAATCCACTGCGTTTTGGTAAAGCCTGCCACAGCGTTGCGGTATTGCGGAATGAGTAAGAAACAAAAAGCGTCAAAGCGCTGCCGTTTGGTCAAAAGCAACATTGAGGATTTGTGAAGGAAATATAAAGCATCACCGGAATAGCCTAAAACAGCTTTGCAGGCTGTTGCAACAATGATGTGTATGAAAGTGGCCAAAGCAGTGTCGTTTGGCCATTGTATTGCCCTGGGAGTATCGTGAATCAATGATGCTCGAGCTTTGCGAGCTTGAGGAACGGCAACTTCGGACACAGAGAAAGGAGAAAGGCTAAGCGCATGCGTTTCGGAATAGAGCAACACTGCGGATGAGGGCAGCATTGCTGCTGAAGCAGACTTCTACTCTTGCAAGGAGCCATGTTGTTAAAAGTCCCGTCCTCCAAAAGGTAACATTGCATGGCCATGGTTTTTCTTTCTTTACTTAAGAATTTTCATGGAGGAATATTATGAGGCCATTAAGCAGCTAGGGTTCTCAGGAAAGGAATAGAAGTTAATAATCTATTGCTTAACCAAAGCAGCACCGTGAACAATGGTTAAGGCGCGTTGCAAAATAGACCAGTGGGATTTTTCTTTATGGTCAAATCAACGTGATTTTGAGATATTTTAGGTGATTTAAGTTGTGTCAACAATTTGGTTCATAATTCTTATAAACCAAATTGTGGGGGCATTGTTTACACCTAAAATATTTTTGGCCTAAATTCAATGCCGTAATAATGAGTCTCGACATTTAATTCGATATCGCATGGCCAAAGCGATGTCGTTTGGTGTCGAGCAATGCCGCGGAGAATTTAAGCGAGACCGCGAAGAGGCTCGGCGGTACCGCGGTACTTGAAACGACATTGGTTGCAGACCATGTGTGAGTCATGCGCAGGACATGTGTTGCTGTTGGACAAGGAATGTTTTTTATTTTATTTTTCATTGTCGGAGGAGGAGAGTAACAGCACCGTTTGGAGTCAAGCAATGCTGCGAAGAGATAAAACGGTGCCGCGGGCCTCAAAGCTCAATGGCATCGCGAGACTGGGAAACGATGTCGTTTGGCTAAAAACGGCACCGCGACAAGCGGCATCGCGGATGAGTTAAAACGGTACCGCAAGGAAGCTCAGCGGTACAGCGGCACTGGAAACGACAACGTTTATTGAAAATAAAAGGGGCCGCGCGTTTTAGTGTAGGTGTCGGGGAAGGAGTTTTTTCTGTTTATAATTAATTATTATTTTTATTCCTTGTTCGAAGGGGAAAATCGGTACCGCGGATTTAAAAACGATGCCGCGAGAGCCTGGTAAGCGGTACTGATTAATTAAACCAAAATTCGCCTAGTCCAATGCGAGCGCCGATTGGCGGCGGTTCCATGGAATATTTTTGGCTATATCAGCGGTGTCGTTTAAATTAAAAATGGTACCGCGAGTAAGCCCAACGGTACCACTGAATTAGCAAACGACAGTGTTTAAATATTTAAACAATGTCGCGGAAAGAAAAACAAAAGGAGCTGTTTGGAGAGGAAACGACACCGCGGAGCTTGAAAACGATATCGCGCGAGGAATCAGCAATACCGCGGTGGTGGATAAAGCCGCGAGCTAAACAACATTGCGGTGGAGAGAGATGGTCGCGGTCGCGAATCTAGCGGCGTTGCTAGTGCGGCAATGCCGCGAAGTTCAATGATACCGCAGCAACATCGTGGAGTTCAACGAAGGCCATCAACTTTGTGTGGTCAACGACGCCGAGAGATCAACAATCTAGCGGCGAGTACGCGGTGACGAGGGTGAAACAACAATGTTGTTTTAATCGATGGCGGTATCGGGATTTGAACCATGGTACAAAGTTGATGTGTGTGCACGTGACTTTTACGCAAAGCAGAAAGAGGAGATCAAGGCAGTTGAGACACGTGGGATTTCAGGACGGAGCAGTTGAGGAAGCAGTTCTACAGAGCGTGAAGACTACGAAGTTGGTTTTAGATAAAATCAACCCTGAGAGGAGAGAGACGGGGACAACGAAATCAACACAGAAACACATCTGTCAAACTTTACCTTTTTTCTCTGTAACTCCTTCGCGGAGCTCTCCTTCCAGGAAGGATCTCCATAGTTGTAGTCTTAGTCGTAGTCGCGGAGCTCTCCAAAGGAATCTCCATAGGAGTAGCGGTAGCGTAGATTCCTCAAAACTCAAACACCCTCGTTCGAACGTAGTTTGGAGAGGTGCGAACCGTAGTAACGGTCGTTCTTGGTTAGAAGTCAGAGGTGCATCGATCAAATCAACACCGCCCGGCGGTGGATATTTGACGGTCACGTTGATTTCACCATTTAGAGGTGCATCGATCAAATCAACGGCGCCGACATTCGGCGGCGGATATTTGACGGTCGTCTCGATTTCAGCAATCAGCGGTGCACTCGATTAAACGGCACCGCAAGGTTTCCACCGCAAAAACATCAAATCAACATCGCCAGAAACTAATTCGGCACCGGCGGTGGCATTTGGTTTTCCCGAGGAAACAGTTCTCTTTTGCTTCGGGTCATCACTTGGAAGAATGCTTCCGGGCTTATTATTTGGTAGTTACTAGTTAGTAGCAAAAGTTATCAGTTAGCAATAATAGCCAGCAGTATTAACACAGATGTTAGGAGTAAAGGACTCCTTTTATATATAAATAACAGAGGGTATTATAGTTTTTTCTTAAAATTCTACACCAATAATTCCCCTGAAAACACACTCTTTCCAAACGTGAGATTTTGAACAATTTCCATACGTAAATTCCTTGTAGAACGTGGAAATTGTGACAAATTCACATATTTTCATATTTCCTCGTAAAAGACTATACAAGAGCAGAAATCCCGCTTTCCCAGCTCTACAAGCTTTTACGAGTAGCATTCCGTGTTTCATTTGATCTAAACTGATATCCAGGAAACATCATCTCCCTGCATATATGCTCAAAGCATTCCCACTCGAGTGCCTTGGCAGATGCTTCAGTGTTTTTTATCCAATGGGTTGGTGTAATCCTGATAGTCGTTGCGGTTTAACCGAACCGCAAAAGCAGTTAGCCAACACCGAGAAAGAGGCAACATCGTCAACTGCAACCTAGGCCGATGCCACTATCGGTTAGCTGATAACCGCAACTGTCAGTTTTGGTTCAAACGACAGTTATTCCAAGACCGACACACACCACCGCCATCGCTATACATGTCAACGGAAAATTCCAATTTTCAGCTTGCAGCAGCGGAAGAAGAGAGAGCCATCGGAGCCAGATGACGATCGACAACGAGCATACGTGGGTGTCAATCCGGATCTGAGTTCACCGTGAATTGAGGTTGATGAGGGAGGAAGGGAGAGAGCGTCGAGAGGAGGATTTGGATATGAATCTGTCGCCGGAGGCACAACAAGGAAGCTAGGAGACTGATGAGGAAGAACGACGGCAAAGGAAAGAGGCTAAGGACGACAGACGATGAGACGGCAAAAGGCGAAGAGGGAGGAGGCCAAGTGGGGAAAGCTGCATCTGTCTCCGATAGAAGGGCATGGCAGTGAAACCAACTTTTTCATCAAACAAATAATGTCGAACTTCCACTTCTAATTTTTTTTCCCAATTGAACTAGAAGGTGGAGTCCCCACTTTACATTCTCAGTTCTACATTTCCAATTCTAAAAATTCCACTTTTGTAAAACTTCAAAAGTTTGTGAGGACATATTGGTAATTTCGCATAACTTGCATATTTTAATTTATGAAGAGTTGACACGCTAAAACACAACACCAAACTACGACCAAGTGTAATCGCAGTCCGGGAATGCAGTAAAGTAGCAAGTTCTAACTATCAACCCGGGGTCTAGATTTACTGCTTACTCCATGAATATCTATTATCTAGCCAACTAAGTCGATTGATTGTGGTTTTAAATAAAAGCAGTAAGAAAGCAGGAAATGGGTCGGTTTTCTAAACCAAAGGAAGAGTCACTCGGGAATGAGTCCCCTACCTCCGTAGTTAGGTCTCAGTTGTAATTACCCTGGGTTGATTTACTGTTGATTAAACTGCGGAAGATCCGACAGTAGCTTGGAATCTCTTAAGCTGACCAAGCCCTCTCAGTCCAACTACCCGGCAGACGACTAGTCTTCACCGGGTTAGAAAGCTGAGGTAATAAGCACAAAACTCCACTACTGGAATTGGGTTCCAGTACAAAGTAGTAGATTGATTAACTCTCGTATAACCAATCTACCACTACCGAATGATGAAGCTCTAACAACCTAATCAGATTCTATCTATCTCAGGTTGCAGCAGAAATCAAGAAAAGATGATAAGACTTCAATTTATTCAATGAATCATGCATCATTCGATTAAAACCAAACATTATAACAATCCCAAGTCATTACAATCAAGATCTCTAATACATGGAACTAGGGTTCTTCATACCAAAGTGAGAAAAGGTTTTACTCCATAGAGAGAGAAACAAAAACAGAATACAAAGCAGTCATACTCATAACAATGGGAAGAATCTACTCTGGGATGATGATCTTCACGCCAAGGATGATTTCCAAGCTTGATTGATGAAACCCAGCTCCAAAACCACTCTTAGGGGGTGTTCTTCGTACTTTCTCTCTCTAGGGCTCTAGTTTTGCTCCAAAAAGTTGATCCCCTCTCCTTTGGCTCGGATTTGGGTTAAAACCCAGAAATTCTTGACCACACGGGCCCGTGTGAGTTGTGCGAAACGCGGCGTTTCGATAAGTGGACATCAGCCATCCTACACGGCCACAACCACACGGTCGTGTGGATTTCCAGGCTGCCCGTGTGAGTTCCCTGGAATTTCCACACGGCCACATGGGTTCCCTTACACGGCCGTGTGGGTTTTAGGTGTGCCCGTGTGGCTTCCTCAGCTTCTCGCCAAACGTCCAATCTTCGTCCAATCTACCCCGAACTCGTTCCCAAACCTTCATTCACATACTAGGACCTGAAATATCACAAACAAGAACAACCTAGCGTGAAATCGGCCTAAAACATGAGAGATAAGACTCAAACAGTGTAAGAATGGTTGGCAAAAACATGTGTATATATCAAGTCATAAAATCCCCCCACATTTAACCGTTTGCTTGTCCCCAAGCAAACCAAGTCAGACACAAGGTAAGCTAACATATTTCAATCATACCAACATAGGGGACAAATCATATAGGCACATAACACGTGAATCGTACTGGCTTTCAAACATCAACACATGAACAACTTCAATAGCAACCTGGACAACCACCACAGAGGACATTCAAGTGCAGCAAAATAGAGTAAAGGAGGAGTCTCCCTTCTGTTCATCAACCAACATAGACTTGACTCAACCACTTACTCAAGACAGTCACCTCATGGACAAAACTCAAGATATCAGAATTGAGACCGAGCAATCTAGTTCCTCACCGGGGTGAAAGAGTATAGAGAATATGAGAAAATGAATCGCTCACTCTCGACCAGTGGGGTCAGGACAATTTGATGCGAAAAATGCGCATGCTTATTCTCTCAATCTCTAACGTCTCTTCACCATGACGACAGCCTCTAAATGTTGGAGTTCACATGAATGGGTGTCATCACTAAATAATCCAGAGTTCTTAGACACAGGTTCGAATGACTGGCAAGGGTCTTGGACATGGGGAAAAGGCCTTTTAGGTGGTGGAAGTATTCATAGCACAAGGTTCCACAATTCCAAACCCAACACATTCACAGTCAATCAAACCACTTACTTTCTTTCTGCCATTCTGCATTACTAACATTCTCTAGAGCACAAGAGCGAAGGAGGTCACATAAATGTTAGTATTTCCAAGCCAGACTGCTAAGAAACACTACTTAATAGGCACTATTCAGATTTTTGTGGTGGTGGCTCTCTTTTGCTTTCATTCATTTTTTTTTTCGTTTCTTTTTTTTTTTCCAGTTCTTGAGAGAACCACCACCTATGCACATTTTTCAAATACATGCCCAACTTTTTAAGAACTACCTCCAACCCTCACATTATATTTAGCAGAGACAACAGAGAACATGTAAAAACCACTCTGTGGAACCTCCTAAGAGATGCAAAAGGGTGATTTTTCGTTGTAGACCGAAAGAAAGAAAGTGACACGGCTGAAAGGGGCTAACTAGGGGGTATGACACACCAGGACTATCAATTTGGTCGTGGGCTATTCCTATGCCTCCATCATCTTAGCTAATGACAACGTGAATGCTATACATCATGGAAGAGGGATCTATCGCACAAGAAGGAAACGAGCAGGCTCAAATCTCACATGGCTACCTATATGCTCTATCTCTCATTCTGATTCTCTGAACTAGATGCATAAATGACTGTCAAGAGCAAGTGATCAATCCAAGTCACAGTTGGTAAGCAAACAGTTGAAAAACTGACCCCTACACAATTCTACTGCATGTCTCAGTCATCATCATAGGTTGTCCTAGTTACAATCAAGCTGTCATGCAATAATCCGAAAACCATTCGATTCACCAATCAAATCACAGTGCCAATATGATCATGCAAACAGCGATACTTGGAGCCCTCAAATCTCGAGATTTGGACAGCGGACTAGGCCCCAAGCACACATATAGAGATTCCAATTGATACAAAGCATCCCCCCCCCCCCCACACACACTTAAGCACGACATTGCCCTCAATGGAGCATAGGGAGAGATAAGGGGAACGATGTTACGGGATTGAAATAAGGCCGGGAGACTGGAAGTGAACCAGTCAGCGGGGAACATATGGAACGAACGGAACAGTTCTGCACGAAGGGAACATCAAGAACACACTAGCTCACTGTGCGTTAGGGATCGGAGTTAGCCTAGATGGCCACAAAAGAGACAATCCACAAGAAAAAAAACAAAAACAAAAACAAAACGAAAAAAAACGATAGACTCAGTTCAAGCTCCGCACACACATGGAGCAAACATGAAAAGTCTAAAACAAAAACACACACTGAGGGGCGACGAGTACAGACTACTCATTGCCAAGGTTGTCAAAGTCGATGTCTTACATGAAGGCGTCATCTCCTGTGGCCGAGGGTGGAAGGGGAGAGTCCTGCCAGGGAGTCCTCCAGACTGGCTGCTCGCCCGGTATCAGCTGGAGCAGGTGCTGCTGGACCTCCTGCATACGCCGAGATCGGGCCTTCTCCCGCTTGATGTGAGCAAGGGTCACCCCCTGCTGGGTCTCCATACGGTCAAGGCGCACATCATAGGCAGCCATCCGGGCTGATACTCGGCCTCGTGAGCCGAGTACTGCTGTTGGAACTGGAGATGATGGTCGAGGAGTTGCTAATTCTGGAGGCTCAGCTGCTGGAGCTGGTGAGTGAAGTAGTCCTGGGCTGGGAAAGTGGAACTGCTACCCCCATACTCGAAGGTGGTCGGGCGGGGGGCATCAGCAATATCCACATCCTCGGGGTGGACATCCTCAGCAGCCTCATCCTCAGGAGCATCAGGCTGCTCCTCCGCGGGGATCTGAGGTTCAGGAAACCCCGCGATCCACTTGATGCCACGCTCGACTCGCAGCAGGTGCATATGCTTGATCGTGTCTTTGCCGAAAACACTAGTGCCCCCTACTCTGTGCAGCCCTGCAGTGGGATCTGGAAGTAGGTGGCCAGGCGGGTGATGAGGGGAGTGTAGTGGACTGTCCCCAG